ATTGAGATTGGACAGTAAAGGATTGGCTCTAGTGCTTCTGTAGCCATTCCCAACACTTCTACTGCCCAGAACCTTCTACCTCACTTCTTGTCCTCACATAATATTCTTTTAAAGTTCATTCCAACATGGCATCACAATGCAGCCATATTTTCCCCCTCTCCTTTCTGTTTGGATGGTCAGAGGAATAAGATTTTTGTAATCTGACATACAAATCAGCAATGCAATTTCTCAAACTACAGGTAGTGGGTGTTGATAGCTAAAGCATCTGGAAGGATTTGCGCTAAAGGAAGTGCTTTCACAAATCCAGAGAGGTATGGATTCTTTTATATATTCTATTTATGGCAGATCGGAAACAGAGCAAGTTGGAAAAGGGATTTCCCTTCAGCAATGTCACACCATTTCTCCTGCCCCAGATATACATTTGTCCAACATTCATGAAGCACCTAAATACTATTGAAATCAATAGACACAAGATGACTTTCTTATTTCTCAAGAGAAGGCAATCTTTTGTTTCTCCCCACTTCCTTCTGTAGAAGTTCCATTAAAAACTAAGCTTAGTAAAATTATTAAGCTGATATAATATACAACACGATGAATATGAACAGTCTCCAAGTATCTCAATCAGCCATTGTTCATTATTGGCATGCCAGTATCCTGCTTCTGCCACTGTGGATGCGATATTGAAACAATACCCAATATGATATTATAGGGACATTGTTGTCAATAATAATAATAATAATAATAATAATAATAATAATAATAATAATAATAATAATAATAATAATAATAATAATAATAATAATAATAATAGTAAAGTTGGAAGGAACCTTGGAGGTCATCTAGTCCAACCCCCTGCTCAGGCAGGAAACCCTATACCATTTTGGACAAATGGCTGTCCAGTCTCTTCTTAAAAACTTCCAGTGTTGACGCATTCACCGCTTCTGGAGGCAGGTTGTTCCACTGGTTAATTGTTCTCACTGTCAGGAAGTTTCTCCTTAGTTCTAGGTTGCTTCTCTCCTTGCTTAGTTTCCACCCGTTGCTTCTTGTCCTGCCTTCAGGCGCCTTGGAAAATAGTTTGACACCCTCTTCTTTGTGGCAGCCCCTGAGATATTGGAACACTGCTATCATGTCCCCCCTCGTCCTTCTCTTCATTAAACTAGACATACCCAATTCCAACAACCGTTCCTTATATGCTTTAGCCTCCAGTCCCCTAATCATCTTTGTTGCTCTTCTCTGTACTCTTTCTAGAGTCTCAACATCTTTTTTACATTCGCTATTAGTCAATTGCAAAAGGCGGCCTTACTAGGAATTGCTTCCATCCTGCGACGATATCTGTAGTACCATCAAACATCCACATCTGCCTATCCCAGGTCCTGAGTAAGGACTCGATAGGTAGACAAAATGCCAAATCCAGTCTGAACATCTGGCTGACTGTGCGATGATCCATAATAATAATAATAATAATAATAATAATAATAATAATAATAATAATAATAATAATAATAATAATAATAATAATAATAATAATAATAATAATAATAATAATAATAATAATAATAATAATAAAGTTGGAAAGGACCTTGGAGGTCATCGAGTCCAACCCCCTGCTCAGGCAGGAAACCCTATACCATTTCGGACAAATGGCTGACTAGCCCTATATTTTCCTCCAAGTTTCTGTCAGCTCACAAATAGCCACATATTTTGAACTGGGCTGATTCCACTCTGCAGCTCAAATTAGGCTAATCAAATAATGAGACGCTTCTGTTGGTTCCTTGTTGATGTTTTCAGTGTTAGTATCTTTCTGAAATATCTTTCTTACCGCACCTTTTATGTTATTCTGGTGTCAGTTGAAGAATTTCATTTTCCCGAGTATCTCATTTAATTTCTAAGCTGACTTTTTATCTTTATTACCCGGTCTTACCTAGACCCATGTCTGTTGCATGTATAATATATTGAATGTCAAAATATTGCCTTCCAAGTCAGTAAAGATTCAGAGTGTTCTATGTAGCAGAAGGAAATAATTCGTGGTTCAGCTTCAGTTCCTCAGGAAATATTATATGTCAACTAGTTTTGCAAAATTTTGTGCTAAAAAAATAGTACAAAAAGGTCAGCCTGCAATGTTAGTTCGCTCCTTAAACATTAAATGTTACAGCTTTTTAAAGCAAGTTCCTAGTACTACACGCAATCTATTGGGATCTATTTGTTTACCAGACTTGTACAGCAGTCCATCTTAGAACCACAACACAACCCTACAATCATATAAAACTGACATCATACAGAAAATAAAAGCCAAAAATAAAATAGAAACAAATAAACTGGCACCACACTCCAACTTCCTTGATGCAGCCAACAGTTTTGTCTTCCAACTCCAACTTCATATTATCACAGCGCTTGGGGAAAGAGTCAGCTCTTTACAGCTTTCCATAAAGAAATGCACATTTTTATAAAATATACATACAGAGCTATTTAATAACCAAATAAAAATAAGCACCATCACAGAGATTAAATATTTGTCTGCTTTTTTTAAAAAAATCACTTTCAGCCAATATGATTTAACTTTAAAAAAAAAAAGTTCAGAAGAAGAGAGAGATTGTAATTGGCCTCCATCACTAAGATATATTATCTGTTTATTTAATGGGCAACTCATCTTTCCCCTGGTGACTGACACAAAAAGCACTCAACAATAAAAGTAACATTTTATAAAATGCATTAAAACACTGAAATGTATCAGTGAAACAAAACATACCCACCCAGCAAACTAGCTCATCCATCAAAAGTCTGATTGAATAACGACTGACTAAATGGGCTGAACGAGTGACTGAATAATCTTGAAATAATTTTTATATTGCTCTTCAGAAAAGGAATCCAGGGAGGTCCCTAAAGAGATAGTAGCCTGACCTAGACAGAGAGTTCAAAAGATAAGAAACAGCCACTTCACCAGATAATTTTTTTACAAGAGAAGGAAATATCAGCATTCCACTTGCGCTTAATTCCCATTATACAGAAATGTTTTCTCATCAAACCACCGATTTGATAGTAAGTGGTTTCACTATCATAGTGGAATAATCAGGCTTTTCTTTTTCTTTCTTTTCTTTTCTTTGTCAGTACCAAGGAATTTCAAGAGTAAATGAGATTTTACAAGAGAGCTCGGTGATTTCATTGTTCCTTGCAATCAGGTTGTAGGGCTAAACATTGGAAGCATAATGAAATTATGTGTTCATAAGCTCAGCATACATAATGGAATTCCTATTATTCGAACTGCTGTTACCAAGGTTTTTTAATATACAGAATGCATCTCTTTCCCCAGGTAGCCCAATTTTGATGCTGCTCATACATTTCATTCATTTTTCTTCACCCAAACTAGCAAATAATGCCTTTGTTTTCCTTATTATACTACTTACACAAAAGGGGTTGTGTGTGATGCTTGTGAGTAATCAATATAGACGCCAACAGTATTGTTCTACTTTCTAACTATAACCTTTCACAGATTTTCTTTTTCCCTCTGGAAATGTACATTCTGAACAAAATTATATGCAATTAGTCCGGTATTTTAAAAAGAAGAGACATTCATCTACACTTTCATTTCCAAACAATTTATTGTCTGTTATTATATCTCTGTTTAGGTCCAATATATTAGATTTTATTGCACGGGGTTGATTTCTTCTGTTTTGTTTGTTTGTTATCTAGGCGCCAATTATAATTTGTAGTTTTGGCAGCAAAGGCACTAGACGCAATAACCATTTGAGCCAAGAGGGACCAGATTGCAGTGGGATATACTGTACATGCAATAAATGAATTGCCATACTTTGAAAGAAAAACCTAAGGCAGACATGTCAAACACAAGACCTGGGGGCCGGATGCGGCCCGCGAAGTGGTTTCATGTGGCCCCCGAAGCCATCCTGGAAATAGTGAGGGAACGGCCCCCATTGCCTTGGCCCTGGCCCAGGCCAGCCGGGAGCCAATGTACAATTTTGTGGTGGCCATCTATGCTGAAATGAATAGGCTGTCTGGAAACAGCGAGGAACCAGCCCCTGCCGTGTCGGCCTCACCCCCTGGATGCATGCTGGGGAGGTGTCACCCTTTGTGAGGAATGAAGAAATGCACCATGGCCTGGAAGTGGCCAGCAAATGGCCCTTGCCTTCTTCACCTATCCGGCTTGATGGGCTCTGCCCTGGTCCCACCCCTTTCTGGCAGAGATCCTCAGATCTGTCCCACTCCTGCCCAGGCCCCCACAGGCCCCCTTGATGCGAATGATGTAGAGCTGGCCACGCCCACCCAGTAGGCCACACCCACTCCAACTATGCCCACCCAGTAGGCCATACCCATCCTGGCCACACACCCCCGCCCCCCCCCGAGGGCAACCGCAATGCTGATGCGGCCCTCAATGAAATTGAGTTTGACACCCCTGACCTAAGGAATTAAAAATGAGCTGCAGCCTATAAAGCAAGAATTGAGAATTAATATCCAGTGCAATTATCCATTTGAAGGAAATGCATCAAACTTTGGAAGAGGGTCATTTGAGGAGCAGAGAGGATGCTTCATATAAAGAATGCCAAGTAGAGTCCCGGGCATCTCCAGATACAACTCAGAAAAGATTCTGTCTGAATCCTAGGAAGACATTAGTCATCAGGGTATAAAATACTAAACTAGGCAGTCTGGATGGGTTATCAGCTCAATTATGCTTTTGGTCAATTTCCCTTTTAAATGAGCAGGAGTTTGATTTCCAATTTCAGCAACGGGGTTTTTAATTTAGCAAAGAACATTCTATATGAAAATCCATTCATATTTTTATGTAGATTTCTCCTCCTTGATTGCCTTTCTATTTGCAGTTTTGTAAGAGTAATCATTTTGAGCAGACAGTTTTTCCTTAATGCATATTTTGTCCTTATTGTCTCCCATTATCTGCACTTTATATATGTTCATTGTTGTGCATTTTAAGATTATAAATAAGCATACATCTCAGAAATGGAAAATGCAGGATATTTATCTGTAACGCTTACCGTTGAACTGCCAAAGCAAGGAAAGCCATGATTATCTCAGCTTTTTTGCATGTATCCTCACAGTCCAAAGCCTGAAAGGCAAAGAAACAGTTAAAATGATAATTCTGAAACTTTGACTAGGAGATGGGTTTTTTGCTTGTTTTTTAAGGAATGAAACTGACAAGGCAAGAATCAGGGTTCCTAGGCAACAGAGAACTATATATCAATATAGACCAGGGGTAGTCAACCTTGGCTCTTTTATGACTCGTGGACTTCAACTCCCAGAATTCCTGAGTCAGCTGTGCTGGCTCAGGAATTCTGGGAGTTGAAGTCTACGAGTCATAAAAGAGCCAAGGTTGACTACCCCTGATATAGACCAAGTGTCTTCCAAGCCCATCAAAAGAATATCAAGTACCCATTGACTAGATAGAAAGAAAATCCCTAAAGTTTAAACCCTACATCACAGGCCTATATAAGGGCTTTGATTTCTGTAGACAGTCTTCTGTATATGCCATCATTCTTGTCTGCAATAAAAAAATGAATCATACTGAGTTGTATCTGAGGGCATTTTGCCCAATAAGCCTATTCCTAACTAAGGGGTTAAATATCCAGAGAGGCAAGATTTGTGGATTATAACCAACAAACACTTGATGGAAGTAAAACTTATTTTTCATAAGAAAAAATATTCCAACCTGATAGCCTACAGGTGATGTTACTTCTAACATTGTCCAGCCATTCATCACAGGTGAGTGATGACTGCTTACTAGAAGAAGCTTATACAGTAGCTCTAGTTTTGGTGGCAAATGAATTTCAGTGAATAAACGATATCATGACCAGGATTTTGCAATATACCTCCATGGCTTCTGTGGGTTGCTAAAATCTGTTTCAAAACTGTTTCACTCTTTAAAACTGGAAAGAAAGAAAGAAAGAAAGAAAGAAAGAAAGAAAGAAAGAAAGAAAGAAAGAAAGAAAGAAAGAAAGAAAGAAAGAGGGAGGGAGGGAGGGAGGGAGGGAGGGAGGGAGGAAGGAAGGAAAGAGCCTGCTATTTTGCATTTTTTTAAATTTGCAGCCATTCTTTCTATTCAGAAGAAACCAACTTCAGAATTGTGGTCAGGATTGTGAGATGGGAAGTTGATTTACCAGCAGTTGTAACAGTTTGGATTAATTTCAAGGATCTTTTATACTGGAATGAGAAGACTAGGAAGAAAGAAACATTGGTCACCTGGAAGTGTCTTAATACAGGGCTTTTCAACCTTTTCACAGATTGTACCACTTTTAGGACATGACAATATTTGAGTACCACCAGTGCTTAGCAGGTTGTCAAAAACTTGATGACTGAAAAAGGGGGGGGATTTTGGGTTTTACTGATTAAATTCATTTGTTGTTACAGAAATGGCTAGTTTATAATATTATGGAAAAGTAAAAAGTTGAGGTTTGATGTTAATGCTTCTTCTATTGCAACAGAGGAAGTCTGTTCTTTTTCCCTTCTCCCCCTTACTTTTTTCCCCTTTTTCCTCCCCACTGTGTTCTACTATTTGCTTTTGTATTTTTGTATTTTATTCTATAATCTAATAAAATATTACAAACTGTAAAAAAAAAAAAAGGAAAAAAGTACCAGTTTTAATTTCTTTGGTGACTGTTTCTTTGCTGAATCATTTTCCCTGATGAATTTATCCATGTTTATTAATATGCACCACTACCAGCTGGCTGTCAGCCCTTCTTTCTCTCTCCCTCTCCTCTTCTTCCTCCCTGCCTTCTGAGCTCTCCTTCCACAGTGTAGTAAAAATATACCCCCTCCCCAGTCCCTTCACTTTACCCTTTAAAGAAACAGGAATCAAGCGCAAAGCAAGAAAGGCTCAAAAAGCCTCCCAGAATAAAGAAACACTGGACTTGGGGGGGGGGGTCTTTAAGCTGCCTCAGGCATGTCTCATTTTAACAATGTAGCAACCAGGCTCCAGCAATTGTGAAAAGTGATAACTTTAAATTAAGCCTGTTTACCTACAAAGAAAACTTGCTAAAAGCAGTGGCGTAGCGTGGGTTGTCAGCACCCGGGGCAAGGCACCCCCCCTCCACAGTGGGTGGCGTCGGTGACCCGGCGGCTCGGATCGGATTCGCACAGCCAGCACTGCAGAGAGAGTGAGTGAGCCAGGCAGGGGCAGAGAGCTGCGAGTGCGAGCGCGCCCCCCCAGATGTTGTACCCGGTGCGGCCGGGCCCCCCTGCACCCCCCATGCTACGCCTCTGGCTAAACTGTAAAACTAATTACATTTGTTTAAAGGGATTAAACCTACAGAAGCCAACATTTTGGACTCATTGCTATCCTTTGTGAAACAGACTAAATATTCCAATACCCAAAGCACACAAACCGAGCCTCTGAATTACAAAACACTGTAAAAACTGTAAAAAAAATCCTTATGGTAATCCATTCAAGCTGCCAGCTGATCAGAAACCCCTGGCTTCCGAAATAAACCCACCTCCTTTCCGACATGCTGGTCTCCCAGCTTTTCATTTCATCAGTGCGGATTGCATTTTCCTGGCTGGAGAAAACTAACCAGGGGACCTTTTCTTCTAGCAACAGCTGATTCTTCTTCCCTGTCCTTGTTTCCTCCCTGCCTGCTGAGCTCTCCTTCCACAGCTTCTTCTCCATCCCCTTCTCTTTCCCTGTTGTTTTTTTTCTCTTTCCCACTAAAACCACTTCCTTTTATATCCTCTCCTCTCCTCACCCCCCTTTTCTTCAGTTCACCTCCAGCTCAGTGCTGCTTCCAGAAGCGCAAATCAGCTGGAGCCCTGCCGGCACTCCTGGGGCTTCTGCCAAGCCCCAACAGACCTGCAGCTCCAGCTGCCTCTCCCTCAGGCTTGGGTTGCTTCAGCTCATTTCCCTTCCCTGCTATACTTGTCTATACTTTGCCATGTGCCAAAGTACCACTAGTGGTACACGTACCACAGGTTCAAAAGCCCTCTCTTAATATATCTGGAAGGAACCAAGTTGGGAAAGACTGCCTTAAGAAACCAAGTGATTGTTTTGTTTTTGCTCCAATAGGCAAAGGACAGATAGAGTTGCTGTAGAGGCAAAAGTAGGAAAATACTAGTTTTATAATTGGAAAAATAACAACTGGCAGTGCTAAGAGATTAGAAAAGTGTTTCTTTTTTTTTTTATTTGACACATTTATATAGCTGCCCATCTTATAACCGACTCTGGTAGCTCTCAAGTAAAAAAATATTTGAATAGAAATGTAATACACTTTTCAGTTGAAAATGGAATATTTCTGGATATAAGTTAATGGTTACTAGTTACAATAAATATATATTAAATAAAACTAACATGTAAAAAAATTCCCAATACAAAATCTTGGGAGAGTGTTCTGGCAAACATTTTCCTTGCTTTGCTCCAAAATCTGCAGGTAAGAAGCCAAAAGTGTTGTCCAATGGACTTAGTCATTCCACTTATAACTCACAAAATAATATTTGTTTGGAAATGCTCTTTCCTGGAAGTAATGAGCTTGTTTATTAAGATATGTATTTCTAACAACAACAACAGGAATATTAGAAATTGAATATAATAGTGCCAGCTGACTCTAAGCAGCTCTTGTGGTTTAAATTCACATTAGTAAACACTTTGCCAGTCTCATTTCATAAAACAGTTGGACATTTTTAAAAATGTAATTAAGATTTTCCAGATCAACCATTTTGATAAAGTAATACTTTGAATTGGAAAATAAAAACATATTTTTTTCACATTTATAGCTTTGCTTTTCTCCTGTCATAAAAACAAGAAAATGTAATACTTGGATTTTGTTTTTAAAACCAATCACAAATCACATACAAAAAATCATTTTTTTTCAAATAATTAGTTTTTTTTTTCAAAATACTGTTTTCATATACTTTGTATTTGTAGATGTAGACCCCTCTTTGAAATGCTCATATGTAAGAAAAAAAAATTCTGGAAAGACTCTTAGATACGCATTAAGATGCTGTATATATATAGAACCAGCTTGTGTATGCTAGGTAAGAGACTACACAGGAACAAGGATCCTGATAATGTTCTGGAAGTCTCTTGAAACCTGGTTATGTCACTGGTTATGAACTTCCTAAGAGTTTATTTTATTTAATTTATATGCCGCCCTTCTCCCGACAGGGACTCAGGGCGGCGCACAACATATTTAAAACCAGAACATATATACAATCCCCCCCTTAAAACCGAATTAAACCGAATTTTAATGTTGCGTCTTCCGAATATTTAAAACCCAATGTAAAATCCACCCTAGGTCAGGTCCGCTTGCTGGAAGAGCCATGT